CAATCTGGGTCGCCTCATCCCGAGAAAGCTCGTGTCCGTGTCTTTTCTCAACATTGGCCTCATGGGCGAAACACGGGTACTTCACACCCACGGAGAAACCGGAAGTCACTTCCGGTTTGCTTGTAGGGTTGCTTTTCGTCCTCCAGAGCCTTCAGGGAAACCTCCTGAAGGCTCCGGAGGGCTAAAACTGGCCCTACGAGCAAACCAGAAGTTTGTTCCCGAACTTCCAGTTTGCCCGTAGGGCTGGTTTTTCTCGCTCCAGACCTCCGGGGCGCGCGGGGAGACTGTTTTCGCCCTCCTCAGGCTCCTACAAAGCCTCTGGAGCCTGGGGAGGGCGAAAAAAGCATAGGGGAGCGTGGGTCATGCGCGTATACGTGCTGGGGTCTTACGCATAGCATTTGGGTATGGCACACCCATGCACGACCCCCTTGCGCTCCCCCTGCTTTTGGCACGCGAACCAAAAAAGGTTCACCATCACTGATATAGAATGGAAAGGACGCCTGTTGGTGTTTTTATTTTTATAATTATAATGTGCGCTGAAGACGGCACTTAATGTCTTTGCACCATGTGCAGTGGCAATAAAGCCCCTGCAGCCTGTATGGCGAGAGTCGGGGTTTATTTCAACCGCTCTCTGACTACCCCAAATGTTTATTTTGGCTGAAGGAAGCTACCTGGATGAGTAACGAAACATCTTCAGTTGTAATAAAGGTTGGTCCAGCTGCCGCGATTTAACCATTTGTAAAAATGACACAACACACTTTCTTCCTCCGATATAAAATTTATTATTTGTAAATGTAATAAATGCAGGGCATAAACAACCAGCCAAGGGCTTCATTTCCTCCCCAAATCCTTCTGGACCTCATCCCCACCTTCAGCCCAACCCAGGCGGGGTCTGCTCTGCTGTCTGCGGGTAGCTCTACGGATTCCTGTGCGGAGGCCCCCCACTCACAAGGCAGAGCCCTCCCCTGGCTGTTTCCAAGTGAGGCAGTACCCCTGCCAACGTTGGGGGTGGGGCGTGGGAGGGGGAGAGATCATCTTGCATCCCAGGGGTGGGTTCCTACTGGCGTTGGTACAGGTTCATTTTGCGTGTGCAGTTCACTGTAAATTGTTCTGCACATACGTGAATAACTACTAAAAAACATGCTGGCAATGGCAGTGGAGACTGGGGAACTGGTTTGAGGGCGTGGCCAGCCTGGGTCTCTGCCGGTTCTGCAACCCCGGCCAAATTACCACTAATGGTTCGCCTGAACCGGTACAAACCAGTAGAAACCCACCTCTGTTGCAACTGTCCATGAGCCCTTCCCAGTCCTTTCGTTTTCAGGCTGTGGAAATACCTACAGACCCCTCCTTACCTCTTGGAGGTGAACTGTTTACACTTCCTCCCTTAACAGGACGCTATGGGGCATTGCACACCCTAGACAAGGAGACCCAAGGACAGTCCCCCACCCCTCCATCTGCTAAACAGCTATTTCCCGCAACACTGTCTATGCCCGGGGGAGGTCAAACTACCTAGCAGGGCTGTATTACTATTACTCTGCTCATCTTTTCATCTTTCCTACCACCCATTTCCTTAGCTTCTTATGACTAACACTCGGTTGTTTGTATCTTGTGATTTAGGTTGATGGCTTTTATTTGAGTATTCTAAAGCCATCATTTAGTGTTGTATCTGATTTATGATGGTTTTTTATGATTATGATTTATCACTTGCTTATGTACACAGAGCTTCTGCACCAGGGACAAACTCATGTGGGTCCAATCACACTTGGCCAATAAAAAAACTGAACTCTACTCTTCTACCCTAGCCTTGTACTCTATTCTACTACTTTACTACCCTACCCTACTCTTCTTCTCTATTCTAGTACTCTACTCTTCTACCCTACCACTCTACTCTACTACTCTAGTCTACTCTTCTATCCTAGTCTACTACTCTACTCTTCTACTCTACTCCATTCTACTACTCTTCTACCCTACCCTTGCACTCTACTACTCTACCCTTCTACTCCATTCTACTACTCTTCTACCCTACCCTAGCCTTGTACTCTACTCTTCTACCCTATTCTACTACTCTATTCCATTCTACTACTCTACTCTTCTACCCTACTACTTTACTCTGGTCTACCCTACCCTAGTATTCTATTCTACAACTGTACTACTCTACTCTATTTTATGACTCCGCTACTCTATTCTACTACTCTACTCTACTCCCCTATTCTTCTACTCTACCCTTTTACTCTACTACCCAACCCCTCTACTCTACTCCCCTACACCTTGCTTCTATTCTGTTCCTCTTCTACTCTAACGCGGTTCACCTGGCGGAGACCCCCGAACGGAGCGCAGTACCCCTGCATCCCCCCCCCGCGGCTTTGCCACAGGTTCCCCCCCACCGCGGGAAAGGGCGGGTGGGGAGGGGCGGGCCGCAGACTCCCGGGGGGGTCTCTCCGACCGGCCAGCCCCGCCCCCAATTCGCAGCAGCTGCGATTCCAGCGCCGCGCGTCGCCCGCGGGCAACCGGCGAGAGAAACCACGCCCCCGCTCTCCCATTGGCCGAGTGCGCCGCTCGTCTGCGCTGGAGGCGGAGGGCGGTGCCTGGCCGCGCGGGGCTCCTCGGGACTTGTAGTTCCGCGCCGTGAGGGCCGGGCTGAGAAGGATCCAGGGACACCCTCGGGGCTCGGACCGATCGAAGGCCCAAATGCCCCGATGAGGGAAAGGAAGGACTTCCCCCCGCCGCGCTTCCACCTTCTAGCAGTCTAAACCAAAGCGTGGAAAAAGCGGCGGGTAAGCAAGGGTTAAGAAGACCCGGCTTCTGAGGCGGAAGTTTTTCCCGCCCATCCATCCCAAGCCCCTCCCGCTCCCCAGGACGCGCCCCGCCCCCTCGCCTGCCATTGGCAGGAGCGCCGGGCGGGCGCGTTTAAAAGGGACTACATTTCCCGGCGGGCGTGCGAGAGCGTCTGGTGTGCCGGCGGAGAGAGAGAGGGAGAGAGGGAGAGAGGCAGAGAGGGAGCGAGGGAGGGCGGGGCTGTGCGCGTGCGGTGGGCGGGGCTACGGCGTCCCCGAGGCGACGCGGGGGGGCGGCGCTGCTGGCGGCTTCCTCCGAGGGGGCGGGGCGCGTCCTGGGGAGCGGGAGGGGCTTGGGATGGATGGGCGGAAAAAACTTCCGCCTCAGAAGCCGGGTCTTCTTAACCCTTGCTTACCCGCCGCTTTTTCCACGCTTTGGT